TGATCTTTCTTCTATAATTTCCAGAATTTTTATTTAACTCTTATAATAAATTTAGTAAATAAAAAAGTATATTTTATTCTAGTAATTAAATAAATTAAATAAATAGAAAAACTATTTTTACTAGAGAAAATAGAATTTAACTTATTTTTTTTATTAATTAAATAAAGTTCTTTTATCTAGCTATATATAAATTTTTAGTAATTTATATTTAGTAATTTTTATATAAAAGAAAAGAAAACCTTATCTGATATTTTATTTAGAAAACCTAGTAATTATCTAGAATTATACTAGTAAATCTTAAAACTAGAAAAACTTTTTTAATTATAATACTTTTAATTTAAGTTTATATATTTTTCTAGTTATATAATTTTTATATATACAGATATATATCTTTACTGTTTTATAGTCTTATATCTAGTATTATATAAGAATAAAAAAGAAAACCTATCTTAATTTTTTTATTATAAAATCTAATAATTATATAAAATAATACTAGTAAATTTTATAACTAGAAAAACTTTTTTAATTATAATATTCTTAATTTAAGTTTATATATCTCTCTGGTTATATAATTTTTATATATATAGAGGTATATCTTTACTGTTCTGTAATTTTATATCTAGTATTATTTAAGAATAAAAAAAAAAACTAAACTTAATATTTTAATTATAAATCTAGTAGTTATATAAAATTAACTTAGTAAATTTCAGAGTTAAGAAAACTTTTTTAATTATATTACTTTTAATTTAAACTTATATACCTTTTTATTCAGATAATTTTTATATATATAGATATATATTTTTAATATTCTAGAGATCTGAAAACTTATACTTAGTAATATTTAAAAATAAAAAAAAAGTTTTACTTAATATTTTAACTATAAAATCTAGCAGTTATCTAGAATTATATTTATAAATCTTAGAACTAAGAAAACTTTTTTAACTATACTAAAAAAAGTCTAAGATATTTTATATATTAGATTAATTTATATTTATAATTATTTAGAGAGGTTATATTAATAGCTGTATTATAATTTATATAATTAATTATTTTTTTTTCTCTTTTTTCTACTAGTATTTTCTTATAATATATTATTTATATAAATAAAATAATAAACTACTTTAAAATATTATCTACTATTAAGATTAAATATTAAATATATTTTTTTTATAATATTATATAACTTTAATTTATTTACTTTATTTTTATCTAGTATTACTACTCCAGTATATACTACTAGTAGATATCTAGTATTTATAAGTATTTTTTTTATTAAATATAAGATTTTATATTATAAATACCTGGGTAGGTAGAATTATATTTTTTTTTAATTAAATATAATAATCAGTACCTGTTAATACAAGCTTTTTTTAAATTATATTATATATATTATATACTTTTTTTTCTTATAATATATAAATATTACTAATCTTAGCAGTCCTAATATTATATAAATTATACTTAAATATTATAGTATTTATTTATAATAATAATCTAGCTAATAATCTATCTTAAGATAATATTATAAATATTTAGATACTTAACCTAACTATAACTATATTATTTTTATTATTAATTCTAGATATATAAACTATAAATAATATTAATAGTAGTTTTATTATTATAAAATAATATATAATTATTAAATAGTCTTCTTAAGCTGTAAAAAGTTTTTATTAAAAAACTTATAAATAATATATCTAAATCTACTATACTAGATAAATTATATTAGATTAGTATATATTTTAATAATTAGATTATTTATATCTATCTAGATATATATATATATATAGTTCCCGCGACACGGAACTTTATATAAAATATTTAATATAATAATACTAAAATTCTAGTTATAATATTATATTAATTTCTATTTAAAGTAATCTAAAAAAGTTTTAAAAATAGATATTCTCTATAAAATAAGTTATATAATATTAAAAATATAATATTTAGTAGTTTAGTTATTTATAGCTATAAATAAAGTATCCTAATTAAGAAAAATATTTTTTTTTTCTAGAAAATATTTATTATAATCTTAAACCTGGAATCATCAGATAAATCTTAAATAGAGTTTTTTTTAAATAATTCTTTTTTTTTTAAAATTATACTTTTTTATACCCTTTCTCTTTCTCTTTTATTTTTTTAATATATAGTAAATAATATAGTATTATTAGTTTTTTTTATTTTTTTTTTAGTAAATTAGTTATTTATTTAGTAGAATAAGTACTAGAAATTTAAGATTTTTTAAGATAAAGAAAAAAATACTATATTCTTTACTAGATAATTTTATTTTTTTAAGATTAATATATTAAATTTATTATATTATTAAGTATTTTAAGATTTTATTATTTCTCTAGTTTCTTCTATTTATTATTATATATAAAAACCTATTATTAAAAATCTAGCTTCTTTTATAACCTATTTTTATCTCTAAAGTAAAACTTATAATTATAATTTTAAGAGGCTTAATATAATAATATAAATATTCTTTTATTAGCCTGTTTATTAAAGTAAGCTAATATTTAGTATAATAATATAAATATTATCTTATTAGACTTATTTTTATTAGGATAAATTAATATTAGTCTATTTTAATAAAAAATAAATTTAAATTCTATTTAAAATATTATATTACTCTAGTTTCCTATTTTATAGAGAATCTTTTTAAATTTTAGTAAATTTAAATTTTTTATAGAATAGATATAATTTATCTATCTAGTATATAATCTTACTTAAATATAATATTTTATAAATTAATATAATTTCTAGATTTCTAATTTCTATTAAATTAGGATTCAGTATAATTAACTTAGAAATTATATAATTAATTATATTTAATTATCTTAGATATTTTCTCTAAGATAATTAAAGTAATATTATATAACTAAAAAATTCTAAAATAGTAGAAGCTTCTACTATTTTAAAAATAAGTTTTCTACTTAAAGCTTTTTTTTATTATAATATAGATTTAGAATATCCAGAATATCTAGAGTACTTTATTTATTTTATTTATTCTACTATTCTATTTATCTAAGTATACTACTAACTTTAATTAACTTATATATAATATATAATCTACTTAATTTTTTAATTTATTCCTAATCCTGTTATAGCTCTTTAAGCTATATTTTATTTATAAATCTAAGAATAACCTAATCTAAGTAACTAGTTAAGAATAAAGAAAACTATTATTATAATTTATTTATTTAAACTACTATATCTATTATTCTAGTTAACCTGTATATTAATATAAATTCTAAATAATTAAATTAATTAAAAACTAGATTTTTAACTTATTTTTAAATTAATATAATACTTAAAAACAAAAAAGAAAAAAAAATAAAAAAAAATAAATTTATAGTATATTCTTAAACTATATCTAGATAAAAAAAATACAGTAGATTTATAAATTTAAATTAATTAATTTAATAAAAAAATTAATTTAATAAATATATTTTAATCTACTTTAATCCTTAGTAATTAATAAATAAATTATTTTTTATAAATTTAAAATCTTTTTTATTATAATTAGAATACAAAAACTTTTTTTATTAATAAATTAATATTTCTTAAATATTAAGATTTAGAAAAGATTTTATATTTTTAATATTTTATATAAATTATAAAATATAAAATTGTAAGTTATATAATTTTAATTTTATTCTTTTATTTAAGAATAAATATAATTATATTATTATTTTATTATATAAATTAATTTACTTAAATATATTAATTATATATCTTATAAAGATTAAAGCTATTAAAGCTATTAAAATTATTATAAATTTTAAAAAATAATAAAAATAATAAGAATATTAAATTTATAAAAATAATAAAAAGTATTTAAGGCTATAAGTATACTAATTATTAAGTTTATTTAATACTATTAATATAAATTATATAAATAAAATTAAGAATATTTTTTAAATATATTTTAAAATTTAATACTCTAAATCTTCTAATAATATTATTTTATTTTTTTAAAATATATAGACTCTTATAATATATTATCTAAATTATAAATATAGATTAGATTTCTAAAGTAATTTAAAAAAATTATAATATAAAAATAATATAGCTATAATAAAATTTAGTTTTATTATAAAACTAATATAAATATAGCAGCTTTTAAAATATATAAATTAATAGAAAATCTAAACTATCTACTTATTAAATACTTAATAGAGTAAATTAAATATATTAAAATTATTTAATATTAATTTTTTAATACTACAAGTAATTATAAGCTATTATTAAAATTTAGAATTTATATTTTTTTAAACTATTAAAATAATTTAGTTTTCTTTATTTTTAATCTAAAATTCTATAATTCTCCAGAAATATTAAAGATCTAGAAAATTATTAATATATATAATTAAAATAAAAAAGAAAACTATAAAAAAATTTACTAAAAATTTTTATTAAAATTAATTTCTATTAATAAACTTATTATAAATAAACTTAATCTTTATTAGAATAATAATAATCTTTTTAATTATTTTTAATAGATTATAGACTTTTCTAGTAACTTTAACTATTTTAATAATAAAATAGATAATATTATTAAAAATTATAATAGATTTAATAGTATATATAATAATAGTAAGCTTAATATAGAAAATAAAAATAGTAATAGAAAAAACTAAGCCAGTAGCTAAACTAGTAGCCAGGACAGTAGATATAATATATATAATAGATATAACATATATAATAATAATAGTTATAATAATAATAAAAATAATAGAAGAAACAGTTACTAAAGAAAAAAAGAAAAAAAAAAAAAAAAAAAAAAAAAAAAAAAAAAAAAAAAAATTTAAAAAAAAAAAAAAAAAAAAAAAAAAAAAAAAAAAAAAAGATTTTTATATAATAGTAAAAAAG